AGGCTTCGCTCTGACGCATCAATCCTTGAGGAAACGGTATCAGATGACGATAGTGGATAGTTCTAGAGAAGGGGGGATGGAAGGGGGAAGAAGCCTTGTTGGTTGAGTCACGAAGTGCAAATATAGGGTGGTAAGGCGGTGGAATAAAGGAAATAAAGACATAAATCGGCAACAGGGTATTCTCATATCTGAGTTTAGGAGGGGCACAATGCAAAAAGAAGCGCCCCACTCCCACGCATCAGAATGAGTCACAGCCTCACCTTTTCAGGTTAATCGATCATTTCCTTGAAAATAGAAATATTGTAAAAACAGTAATGAAAGGTTGTAGAAATAGCAGGCGCAGACGAAAACATACAAAATTAGCACGGGGTGGAGATTTTTAGCCGGGAAAAATAATTTTTGTTTTTCCGCTGATTGACGTCTGTTTATAATATATAGGGTATTTTTACAGCGTTTTTGATCGCTAAAAGCTTAGACATATTTGAAAGAATTTTAGAAAGACGATCACTAGAGCTTTTTGGCGATTTTTCATGCATTTTTAACCAAAAATCAAAAATTTTCGAAAATCTTGACAATTTCTGGAAACTTTTATATCGGGTTTCCATTTCGCAAAATAGGGCCCGACGGGATTACTGGGAAAATCTGGTCCCCCCCCCCCGCTAACAGTCCATTACCGAATAGAAAATGGTGAAAAGCGAGTTATAGCAGAGAGATGGGAAAGAATTTGGGAAAGAGAGTAATAATATACAGGATGTAATATTTGTAGTGGGTGAAGCCGGGAGGCTACTGCACGCCCGGCCGGGACCGATTCATCGATTTCCTATCCTGAAGCCTGTCCCAGCACTCCGTTGTCCCAAAGCCCCAAAACTCTGATAACGAATTCGTTGGCCGGTGATTCAGTGCTCGAACACCCCTTATGGCAGGTCATTATTAGCATCTAAGTTTTTTGAGACTTAGAAATTCATTACTGAAGATAAGGTTCGTGGGAGAGGTTTGAGATTTTTCGTTAAGGGGATGTTAGATAAAAGGGATGTTCGTAAAAATTAATTTCCAAAAATAAACATGCAGCCGCCTACGTAAGCACATACTAACGCGGGGAGAAAAGGGCGAGAGGGTGAGACAGAAAGAGAGACAGAGAGTGAGGAGAGAGAGAGAGACAGACAGAGAGAGAAGGGAGACCCTGCACCTTCACTTTAAAGGGATAGTCCCATTAAGAGCAAAATCGACGGTGCTAAACTGGGGCCAAAAAATCGCGTATCTAGTGGGATATATCGACGAAACATCGGAAACTGAGGCTCGTAACCGTCGTGTCTGCCCCCCCCCCACGGCCATTGTGCCCCGATTTTATGCGTGGCTACGATGGGCGACAAAAAGTGGCTGCGGCTCCGTTCAAATGCAAACAATTCTCTAGGAGGGATGTATCATGAAAGATTGGATACGGTACTTTTTCTTTTTCAAAAACTCTAAAATGCTATGAAAAGACCGGAAGAATTATCACCCGCCCCACCCCCTCCCCCAACAGTCCAGTACCGTTGTAGCAACAATAGCACTAACGGAGAGGCTTTTATTGGAGGAAGTACGGAATTTTAAAAAAATATCTGACTCAAAAAGGGTGAAATCTGGTATCAGCCACCACGCCTTAATAGATCCTCAAATCGTACACAACCAGAAAGTTGCCCAATTTGGTGAGCGGGTGTGGATGAAAGGTAGCACCCGAGGACCAAGGGCCCACCAACACAGACACAGAGACAAGGGGCTCTATCCACCGGATAGAGTTTCTGGTCGAGTCGATGAAGGGGGGAGGAGGGCTGGAATACCTGGAGGGTACGGGGCTTGGAACACCCGATGGCTTATAGTGGGGGTGGCTAGGTTTTCTCTGCGATGGTTTCCGGGGGCCCTCCCCGACGTGCACCACATCTATTTGCACTTCCACCACCCACCCCTGGGCCCCCAACCCTGCAACCACAACCACCACTAGCTAGCCCTTTTGCTCTTGATATCTATCGGCCTCTCGGTTGGGTGGTGCTCTTTGGTACAGATCGTTGTGGGCAGCCGGTTAGGTATGTAGAGGAAGTTGGAAAACTGAAGGTACTGGGCTGTTAGCAGGGGCAATTAACTTAATGAGTAACCCTGCACGACCCTATAACAAAATACAGACTATTTTTATAGGATTTTAAACAGTTTTTAGGAATATAAAAAGCTCGTAAAACCTCAAATTTTTTGCTTTTTTTGGTCGAAATGTATGAAAATTACCAAAAAAGTCAAAATTTTTGAATTTTCAAACATTTTCCAAAGATTTTCGGTAGCTCGCTCGCAATCAAAAATTACTAAAAACATGGCAAAAATACACACTTATTATTGGCAGCTAGGGCGCCGAGGAAAACAAAAATTCTGAGCAAATTTAATCTTTTCAAAAATCTCTGAACGACTACGGTATTTGACAAAATTTGCTCCGAACGTAAAGGCTCACAAATTTACATTTTATCGAAGAAATCATCTCAAATTGTAAAAGGACTTCTAAGAAATTAGATCTCAGCAAGCCAAATAACCCTAAAAATTTCCCACTTAAAACCCTGAAAAAAAACGCTGAGGCCGCCCAACGTTGATCGGCCGGCCCCCGATGAAATGAGCGAAGTGGCCAGCCGTCGCGAGAAGGGGGGTGTTAAAAATCGTGGAATTGTGGGCCAACCGCCCTTTGGCTTGGGACCCGGGCATAATGCACCCCGCCGGATCAGGCACCCGGGGCCAAACACAGCGCGCACCCCGGCTTCTCTTCAACCGTACGCCCCAACCGGAATTCGACTCCTCGTCTGTTGAGACACCCGCTTCAAGAAATTGGCACCCGCTCAAAAATTGGAAGAGAATATTTGCTTTTCGCCGAGAAAAAATCTGAAAAATTAAACAAACATTAAAAGCTGTATTTGTAAATAGCTTTTCTCTATAAAAAGGCTTAGGCTTAGCTTAGGATTATGCTTTGGCGTCGGCTTGGGCTTGCGCTTCGGCCTGCTTAGGCTTCGGCTTAAGCTATACATAGGCTTAGGTTTAGGCTTAGGTATAAGCATAGGCTTAGGCTTAGACTTAGCTTAGGTTTTAGGCTTGGTTTAGAGCTTAGGCTTAAGTTTAGGTTAGGCTTAGGCTTAGCTTAGGCTTTGAGTCATTAAGTACCCTCAAGTGAGGCCATTGAGGCCCTTTCTTGTGCTCCACTTTGAATACTTTGCATGTAGTGTCCTGCTTGGAAACCGTTGCCGTACCCTTTTATTCCGCTCATTTCCTATGTACAAACATAATCAAAGCCAAGGCAGAAACAAGAGCACGAGAGAGCCACCGGAGGACAACGTTCAAGAGATAATGGAACTGAAAGAAAAATACAGACCCGAATGTTTATGTAGTTATAAAATGTAATGAGGTATCACAAGATATTAGATATTCTCAATATCCAGCGGATCTGTCGGAATCTTCTTCTTATACCTATGCTGGGTCCATTTCTCGGCCCCTTTAGCGCATAGATACAAAAGACCAAATAGAATCAAAATTAATGCCGTGATCAGCACCGCAAATAGGGCATCCACCGGCCAGTCCGAGAATTTCGCGTTGACGACGTCCTGAAAATGATCATCTACCCATCTGCCTTTTCTTTAATTTTTTCTATTTCTATAAACTCACCACCAGCTTGTCGACATTATCAATCGTTTGATTTTCCTTTGTAAAATGATCCTTGATATTATTCCACGTTTGTTCACCGCGATCGGCAATTTGCTGCCCGGCCGCTTCACCCTAAAAATGAATTTGTTAGCGTTTTAGAGAACATTTTATAGAGTTTTCTCGTTGACTTGACCTACATTTAGTTCAATATCATGAATACTTGCAGCCAGCCGTTCCACTTGAAATTTGATTCGATCGATGCTCGGGCGTAATGTGGTGAATGGGTAGATGACTTGGTTATTCATCTAAATTCTGGAAAGATCAAAAGCATTGCATAATCAGGATTTTTATAATAGAAAACTAAATTAAATTTTGAAAAAGCAATGAAAACAAATTAAACTAACATAATTGTATAACCTGGCCGTCGACTATAGCCCTATTGAGTTTAGGGGTACCCAAAGAATCGACATATTGCCTTGCAACCCGATCCGCCGCCCACCCCATAGCTACCTGCTACCCACAAATGATACTGGCCCTAAAGTTGACGAAATTGTACAAAAAGTACACCACACAACTACTACACACATATTAAATCACGCCACATTATACATTTTAATAGATCCCGCAGTTCTGGATCGCTAGCGGGGGGGACTTCTCCTAGGGGGGAAACTGATTACTGTTTTTTTCCGTCTATGCCTAAATATTGATATTTTTATAGTGTTTCTTAGTGCTTTTTCATTGCTAGAAACATAAAAACATTTTATCTTAAAAAAAATTTAGAAAATTCGAAAATTTGGAAATTTTTCGGGTCATTTTTCATACATTCTTGACCAAAACCACCAAAATTTTCTAATTGCTTTATGAGTGTTTATGCCTACAAACTGCCAAAAAACACTACAAAAATTGCAGGTTATTTTATTGCAGGTCGTAAAATACTAACGTAAACTTGGAAACATTTGGTTTTCCCCTAAAACCCCGACCGCTAACAGTCCGGTACCGAAATTCGTGATCATAACCCTAAAACCCCGAAGATAGTCTGAAAAATGACTAAAAGTATCATGCCTTACATGACTAAAACTTCAAGCCAGAAAAGAAGCGTGACAAATCAACCCTAAACTTGCACAAAAGGGTAGGATTCACACAAAAGAGCCTGTAGAATACGGCACGCTTGGTAGAGGGGTGCCGTCTGTGTGTCTGTTTGTCTGTATGTATGTATGCGCAAAGAGGTGAGTCAACACAAGCCTCGGCTTCAATATCAATACAGAGGGCCTCCAGCCTCGACCGTACGAATCGATTCGCTCGCGTTTCCCCAGGGGGCGGGGGGGGGCGACCGCAACGATTTCCGGACAAGGCAAAGGGCAAACAAAACCCGTAAACCAGGGCATTTTTAAAGAAAAACCGCCACTGTTAGGAAACAAGATATTGGAATCGAATCGTTAACTCGGGAGAGTATAGTTGTTACAGTTTGGCGATACCGATACTTTAATTTATTTCGTCCCCGCCCACTCGCGCAAAAGCTATGTAAGACATAAGCAGCGGCTCTCAGGATTTTCTGCATAAATTTCTCTCTCTAAACCACAAAAATGGTGGAAATAGTCGCACTGCACGCGAACACCCAATGGGAATTGCAAAATAACCTTTCTTGAACAGGTATTTGCAAGAAAACGAAAAACGAAACACACCAATTTACGGTCTTCCCGCGCTTTAGCGAGCCTACCGTATCCCCCGGCGCTAAATTTAAGTCCTCCCGCGGGGAATTAATGCTCTGCGGGACGGCTTGGGTCCCATACACGTTCGAAAACGCCTTGAAGTATTAATCCCCTACACGGGAGACTTTTGCCGCGACAAATGTTGCCACGGGCCGCACGGCCCAGGCGCTAGACAGGCTGCTAGACATGCCTGTTCAGGACACGGGCCGCGCACGGCAATGGCACGGCCCGTGCGGTTTTGTCGCGGCTGGTGCGCGGCCATTGCACGTCTGGGGCACGGGCCGCCCACTTTTGTCGCGGCAAAAGTCTCCCGTGTGGCGGAACGGTTCTGGCCCTAACCAGGTTTCAACCCGTCATCGCGCTGAGATCCGCGCAAAAATCGGAAATCCCAAACGGCCGTTCCGCGCTACATCAAATGACGCGGGTTCGGCGGCGAGGACGGACGGGAGTTGGGCGCGGGCGGGCTCACGCATTAGAAATTTAGGCGCTATTTCAGTTTGCTGGCCCCCCCCTTAAATTCGGCCAAAACCTCATGTTTCCGGGCTAGTGTTTTTGCGCTGATTACGGAAAACACTATCTCAGCCGCGAAAATGCAATTTAGAAAAATTTAATTCTATAACGGAAAAAGTACATTTTACGGCACTCGCGCAAAAGTCGTGTTTTGTGGGGTTTTTAACTAAATAAATGACCAAAAACGGGTTTCCCATGAGAAGTAAGCTCGTAGCATTGTCAGGCAGGGCGGGCCGTCGCTTCGGATGGGCTGCCGCTGCACGCCTTTGAAATCGGGGCGCCTGGCCGCTGCGCGCCTCGGGCGCCCCGTTTTCTAAACCCTGCACGAGCTCACACCCATTCGAAGCGACTAGGCCCCCGGTGTCACGAAGCCTTATTTTTAGCGTATAAACAATTATTAAAGTTGATACAGCACTGAGGATGAGCATGGTTAGCGGGAGAATAGTTTTCGAATGCCATTTTTGGGTGGGGGGGGGGGGGAGGGTGGGGTTTGTGTCTATCTGTGTTAGAATAGTCCGCGCAATGTCCGTAATATGATTGATGTTCCACACCCAATTCCTGAGATCGGAGAAACGGGTGAAAAACAACCGGGATCCCGGGACAAAGTCTATTGGGGAGTGGAGGGAGGGAGAGAGAGGGAGAGAGAACGAGAGAGAGAGAGAGAGCGAGAGAGAGAAAGAGAGAGGGAGAGATAGGGAGGGAGAGAGAAGTTCCGACTGATTGTGGATGTGTCAGGTACACATGTAAAATGGATAAATATTTTAAAGGGACAGTGACAGGCTGAAAAGTCATAAAAACCTTTCAAGAATATTCGGTCTACTGTATTTCAGGTATCTAGGATTACCTTTATAGTTAAATACGGTATCAAAATTTTCTACGCCGTGATGAACGCGCCGAGAAGCGTAAGAAAAATCTGGAAGTCACAAAAAAACCCAAATATGCCCTTTGGCACATCAAATTTTTTAATTCTTTATTCTGCATAGTACAATTTTGCCGATGCCGATAGGTCTCAGAATGCGCGAAATAGCTAGAATTTGGGGCTTAAAAATTAATTTTGTGTGGAAAATGAGTGCAATAGCAGGAACAACAAGGCCTTAAGGGTAAAAATGCTTTCCACCCCGGTATTCCCCCCCCCCCGTTAAGTAACCTTTACCCGAATTTTGAGTTTTCCTGGCCCGTTTAAAGGTACACTAAAATGCCGTTCAAAAATTTTCGCTGGGGTCGGGAATTCGGGTTCTCTGCCGCCTCTGGCCCTGACCCTTCATAGCCGCTTTCCCCTCCCCCGCTCCCGTCTGTCCCTTGGCCTATTGGTCTGTGGGGCTTGCCCCGGGCGAGCGGCCCGGGTTCGGTTGACCTGACCCAAATGAATTAGCACAGCCTTGTAAACATGTAGTGTCAGAAGTCACCGTGTAGTTACCGGAAATGCACGTGGCATTTGATAAACCATGAAAAATGCTTATCCTGCCCTTGATCCCTTATATCGACAATTCGAAAAAATCGTGATCCCCTATATCGGCGCTGATCCCCTATATCGACGATTCGGACATTTGGTCATTTTTTTGATCCCCTATACCGGCAATGGTCCCCTTTACAGGCACTGATCCCCTATACCGGCATTTATCCCCTTTATCGACGGTGATCCCCTATACCGGCAATGATCCCTATATCGACCGTGATACGCGCGTTTCATCGTTATAGAGTCCAAGCCGGTCATATGACCCAAAAAGCCAGAAAAGACTTTCGAAACGCAGTTTTCGAAAGTTGCCTAAAAGCCCATAAATCAATCATTTGTATACTCAGAAGCGACATAACAACCTCAGTTTTTAGGATTCACGCTTCAAGGAAATTTTGCGGCTCCAGCGCCAGGTCAACGACGGTAAGTCACCATCATTCTTGCCGCAAATATTCTCGTTCAGAGGGCGGCCTCGCACCTGAAAACCTCCGACTACAGGATGAAGGGAATGAACTAAACGAAATCATCCCAAGCCCTCGACTATCCACGCTGTACATATAAAACCAAAATACCCCCCTCACCAAAAACCAACGGAATTGGTTTGTATTGTTGATTGATTGACCGGATTCTGGCGTGCAGGATGCAAAATGCCTGTTTCCCCCACCTCTTGCCTGGAATTATTGCAAAGCCGCAATATGTCCCAAAATTGAAGCTGCAACTTTCCTCGTACCCTTTCCCCGGAATTTGGGTTGATTTCGCGTTATTCACTGATGATTCTACAGAATAACTAGTCGCGACGTTATTGCTGTATGAAATCCGCTGGAATATTGCCCGAATCTTACTCGCCAACGACCGAATTCGCGAAAACGGCGTATTTTGACTGTTTTTACGGCCATCGAAATGGGTCTATCCATTCTCCTCGTTCCGCTTCATGCCCAGTACATGCCTTCCTTTTGCAAACTGCGAACTTTGCTGGTTTTTGTAAAGGGAAAGGATCAGCCCTGCGCAATTCTTCCTCTTTTCCGCGTTGAGAAGAGGGTTGCTCCGTTCTCGCCATGTTGAGCCTCTGTTATTTGCCGAAATCCACGAAATTTTGCCCATTTTTCACGGTCCGAATTCTCTCCAATTTTCATCTTCGGTGAAATCATCCCATTCTGCGTTGAAAGTACTATTTCAATTTGTTCCGCAACCTTTCGAGATTATTGCCTTCAAATTCGTTTTCAGCAAAAGAAAGGTTATAATAAACCTTGCAAGAGGTTCTTCGTCATTTTCCCTTCCCCGTCTCTTCTGTGGCCTTTCACGTCGTGTTGCGTGTGCCCATTCATTGCCCTTACGGAATGACTTTTTATTTTTTGTGTTCTCATCCGCTCCTAAAGCAATCACTTTTGAGATTGCCCGCCGAAAGGTCCTTTTCCACGACCATTGCTCGTCAAGAAGTTGAAAAAGAAGTAGCCCATTCTTTCTTTTGCCGTTGGATTTGCCAAAAATTGCCCCGCTATTACAACGTTCTTTTGAAGCTTCGAAATTTCGTCGCTGACTTGTCTTTCATCGTCAAAAGCTTCTTCAAACTTGCTTACATTTCGAAAAACGCTCTTCCCTGCAAACATTCCTTTTTAGGATTCGTTTCGCCTCA